TATGAGGTACTAAGGCATTGACTTCACCATAATCAATCAATATAAATTCTGGATTACTAAATTGTTGAGTGTTATTGCATGTGATGGCGGATTTCCCTAAATTAATTAACTAGCTTTCTCAAGTCAAGTTAATCCTTTACTTGTTTGTTAAATTAATCATATCTCTATGTAATTTTAAACAAACTTATGAGCATTAAATTCTATGGAAACCTCTAGCTTAAGAAGGGGGAGCTACTAACTCTCTTCTCTTCCTCCACTACCACATGTGAGCTAATTACCTCTTAGTCTCATAGTCTAGCACACGGTTTATATTATTATTGGTCTAATCTACACAATTCTTTCTCAAGTTCATGCATAAATCACTAAATCAATTGAAAGGTGATCAGACTTCCAATGCATTAAGTTCAATAATATAAACTCCTCATGCAAATAACTTTAATTGAAAGCATAAAATCACTAAATCCATATTGAATTGATTAGGCTACATCGTAGCCTTAGTAGAATAAATCAGTTCATAATAAAAAGAATAAAATATACAATCATAGTTATGAACAAGGAAGAATAAAACCTAATTTGAGAAAATTGTAATCCTTGATCTTCTATTGTTGAATCTTCTATCTTGACCTCCAAGAATGCCCAAGAGGGCTACCACAAGCCTCCTCCCAACTCTCCTCATTCTGAATTTAGATGGGTATTTATAGGATTTTAGAAACCCTAATTGAAATAGAAGTAGGACTTTGAATAGGAATAGGAAACTGAATTTTAGATGCTGATCGCGTGGTGCTGACACTTCGGATTACGTGTTGACACAAAATAGGAAACAGAATCTGATTCTGGACGTTTAGCGCATGGTGTCGACACCCCGATAATGTGTCGACACTACACCCGTGTCGGGTTTATGGCCTCCTTTTGCAATTTCTTCAATGGTAAAATGGCAGATCTGGTTCCTGACTTCTGGATTCTGCATAAGTTGATCCTCAAGTCTCTGATCTCTTCAATTTACTTTTAAAAAGTAAGATTTCTTCCAATTAAATCTTTTCCTACACAAAGAATAAAAATCATGTAAAATCAAACAAAATCCCATAAAACTCATTCAAATATCAATAATATCAAAGTAAAAATTCCCTATTAACATGTATATAAATTTAGGTCATCAGCCAGCTCACCAGGGCTTACCCGTGCCAACCCGTTACCCTAAATTGTACTCTCTTTCTATGGTCTAGCCTTCCCGTATGCCTCTGGCAATATTTTCTCCTCTACACCTTTAATTGAATTGATGATTTCTGCTACTATTCTGTTGTTACAGGGTTTCCACATCTCATCTGTTTGGACATAGAGGAGACTGATCCCACTGCATATGGAGGACCCTTAGATGTCTCAAAATCACATGATGGGATTCCTACCTTGGTTTTTGGGTTTTCAAGGTAAGTTCTCAATAATTCCTCTCAAAATTGGAGCTGTTCTAATATAACTTTTGAATAGAAAGTTAGAAAAATACAAAAATGAAGAAAAGAAAAAGGAGAGTAGAGATA